AAAAATAGCCTACTTCTATAATTTCTTTCTCCAACTGTCTCTACAAACACTTTTTTTACTGGAGCCTTGCCGTTTATTCTTACAATATAACCAAATCAGATTAATATCCATGTCATGATAAAGTTCAAACAGCTTGTGGTACTTTTAGAAAAGGTAGCTATTGTCAACTCGTAAATTACAAAAAATTTTACGAAGATGGAAGAAAACATCCCCTCATCTTGATATCCCTCGAGCGCAACTGCACTCCTAGTGCAACTTCATCATTCTGTGAAAACGTCCATGCTTCTGCAGCATACAAAAACACACATAGGATGATTGATCTATTGAGCATACGTTTTGTCTATCGAGAAAAGTATTAATATAATATATATTATATTAAAAAGAATATTATAAATGAAATTCAGTCAATTTTGTATCATCTGCGAATAATTTTTATTATTGCTTTCAACTTATAATACTAGGACTAATACTATTCTGGTTCTGGTCGCTGATGGACTGTACATCTGTAACAAAAAATTATTACTTCTTTGGTTTCAATCTTTGTGCTGTGATTATAAGTATCAATGCCAAATATATCCTGTGTACTCTTAAAGATAATAATTGTTTTCCATATTATAGCAGTTATATTTTAATACTTTATAATACTTCATGATATCGTATATAATATAATATTTCCTCGAAGGAAACTCCATACTAGTCCGGTAAACCATTTTGATGATAAAATACGGTAACTTCTCGAGAACACTATACTAGTACAGATACCACTTCGGGCAAACAGTTTAGAAAATGACTCGGAGTATATATTTTAAGATTTAATTCCATATTGTGAATCAGTTCCTCGATACTAGTCCAGCAAACCATTGTGATGTTAAAGTTCGCTAACTTTTCGAGGAGACCCTTATACTAGCACAGAAACCACTTCATCACTTTGATGATCAGGTGATGATATCGGGCAAACAGTTTAGAAAATGACTCGGAGTATATATTTTAAGATTTAATTCCATCATGTGAATCAGTTCATCAAGGAGAACTCCATACTAGTTCGGTAAACCATTTTGTTGATATAGTACGCTAACTTCTCGAGGAGTACCCTATACTAGGACAGAAACCACTTCATCACTTTGATGATCAGGCAACACTGTTAACGCTTATGCTAATGATATCGGGCAAACAGTTTAGAAAATGACTCGGAGTATATATTTTAAGATTTAATTCCATCATGTAAAATAATTTTTTTCATATCATATCATTATATGATTTGAAACTATATCATTTTATTTGAGTTGTTTAATTTTATACTTTTATGTCATAAATATACGAAATATTCATTGTTATAGTTATAGTTGTTCATTGTTAGAGTTATTGTTTTCATTATTAATTTTTAATTATGTTCATCAGAACAAAAGCCTATTAATTACACTACAATCAACAATCATCATTTATTAATTAATTATGATAAGTAATGTATACTCTTATAGTTCCATTTAATTAAACACTTAAGAAATTAACATTGACACCATATTGAATGTGTATTCAAATAATATTATTATATTAATATTTTTTTTTTTTTTGATAAGTATAAGAAAGGATAATATTTATTATCCTTGTGTGTAAACAATATAGTCATGGTACAAAAATTGTATTTATATTTATATTATTTTACTATTGTCCTTTTAATTGTATTTTCTTTTTTTTATTTATTTTGGCTATTCAACGTTTTCATTGTGCTTTGAAATATATACGTGCACCGCCCACATGAACTACACATAAATGTGGCACATTATTCCAACCAAAATGTAATGGCAATCACAACATCAACAACAATCGTCATCACTATCTACACACTATCTACCAAATAATAATATTCAAAATGCAAAAAAGGATGCACCAAAAACTGTTCACCACTTCGAACCATTTACATATGCAGGACCAACCTTTTGCGATCATTGCGGTTCGCTACTTTATGGCATATATCATCAAGGACTTAAGTGTTCAGGTAATGTGAACATTATTGTTACTTATATATATTATATTGTTGTGTATATGCTTGTATGTGTATATGTGTTGGTGTAAGTGTGCAGGTGTGCAGGTGTGGATTAGAATAAGTTGAATTTTTATAAGGAAGCGAATGTATCTGAGTGTATTGTGTGTAAAAAGTAATATTATGAATGCATTACACATTTTAAAAAGGACTCTTGCATTTGGTTCAATTTAAGGAGAGAAAAAATAGGTTTGTTGTGTAGATATATTATATATTACTGTATTATATACATTATATATAAATTTAAAAAATGTGAAATGTCTTAGACATTTTTTTTTAATTTAAAATAAAAATATTTTTTAAATAGTATTAAAAAAAATCTAATCTTATACTAATTAATATAATTTAATTTTATTTAAAATATGGTTACACACCATTACATACTAAAAAAATAAATCTGTTTTTAATTATCCTTAAAAAAATGTTGGGTAACCTAAGTAAATCGCAACAAGGATAACAGATACAAATATTTTTTTTCATTTAAAACTTTTTAAATAATTTTTTAACACTATAAACTACATTTAAATATTTTTTTTTTTTAAATTAATTTATTTTTTTGCATTGAAAACTTTTCCTTGGTTTTGCACATCACCCACATTCACTTAAACTGCCACCCACCGTTCACATTAATTGTCCTGCTGTTGTCCTGTTGTAAATAAAAGTTTTATCAATTTAACAAATTGTTATTGTATAATAAATTATGTTGTATAATTTTAAATAATTATTTTTATTAACTTTTTTTTTCGAATATAAAAACGTTTTAAATAAATACGAGTACGCTGCGTTTAATTTCAGTCCAGTGCAAAAGTTCAATTAATTTAATTCTTAAATTATGCAAATTCTGTAGATAATTTTTAATGCTTTTTTTTTTGTTCCATTTTAAGCGAAAAGTTTTAAAACTAATTTACATAAAATAATTTTTATATAAAAATAAATATAAAATTAAAACTGAATTTCTCCACTGAAGGCACTGTAATGTAATGAAGTATATTTTTTTTTTGTTTGGAGGAATAATTATGATAATTTTCTGGTCCTGTTATGTGGGATAAAACGTTTTTGTATTTACTAAACTAATTAATAAGGCATAAACTTTTAATGGTAGTGTATATGATGGAATAAGTTCAAAAAGTTGAAACTTTGAAATGTTGAAATTTTGACAAGTCAAAAAATTTGAAACCTTTTCATTTTAATGACTGTTAAAAAGTTTTTTATAAATTATTTATTACTATAATATTAACAAAAGTATATAGCTCAAAAGTTTCTTATGGGGTTCAGAATAGAGAAAAATAAAGAAAGTGTTTTTTAATACAATTATAAAATCATACCATAACATATATCATACCATATATTTAATTTAAATATACAAAAAAAAAATGTAGTCACAAAC